GAATGGCCTCGAAAGTGCTGGACAAGCGCTCTACCACTGAACTCATCCCCAGCCCAAGGGGAAAAAAAAAATAAAATAAAAAAACATTTTTTAAAGTACTTTAAAAAAAATACTTTTCTTGCTGGAAGTGTAGCTCAATGGTAGAACACAGGCTTAGCATGTACAAAGCCTTGGGTTCAATCTCTAGCACCAAAACTGAAATAAAATATAAGCAATAAATAAAAATACATTTGGCACTCCAATCAACAAAGAAAGCTCGGAAAAAGTGCAAAAAACTAGCATCCACTAAAATTTTCATATGACACATTTATTTTATTTTATTTATTTTTGGTACAAGGAATTGAACTCAGGGGCACTTGACCACTGAGCCACATCCCTATTTTGTATTTTGTTTAGAGACAGCATCGTGCTGAGTTGCTCAGGGCCTCGCTAAATTGCTGAGGCTGGCTTTGAACTCCCAATCCTCTTGCCTTAGCTTCCTGAGCTGCTGGGATTACAGGTGTGTGCCACTGTGCCCGGTTACATTTTTTTTAATGTACTTTTTTCTGATTGTTCAAATTCATAGTATAACATTCAGAAGATGGAAAACAAAGAAAGGGAAAAAATGGGTGTTTCATGATATCTGAAAGTTAAATGTTCCTCCCAACATTCTCACTGGACATGCAGGAGCAGAACTCTGCACTGGTAAGAAGAATCTAGATCATGGCCATCACCTCCACCAGCATAGATATATCATGAGGGGAACCCTCCACGACCCAGTAAAGTTCCAAACAGGGCTGCTCAAGTTCCAGGAAAAAGAAAATTATACTGTTGAATATTAATGGAACCATCCAAAGGAGCTAAAATTGGTTATTTAAATGACAGAAAGACATGCTTCTATTTCCTCTTCACACTAAAAAAAGGGTTTTTTTCTCCTTAAGGTAGAAAAGAAAAATACAGGTTAGAACCACCATCACCAAAACCAAGTATTCCCTTCCCCCTGCCCCATACCTTACCATAATGGGCCAGGATATACAGGCAACGACCAGACAGTCTCCACTTTACCCTGAGACTCCATGCCATGTAAGAAATGCTTCTCCCGTGGGAACACCCGCCTCTGTACCCACCAACAGTTGCTGAGCATAGCATGTTTGGCAACACAAAATGGCAATTCTTATACAATGTAAAAGTGTTTTCTCTTTGGTTCCCATTTTTTTCTTGCAATGTAGATTGTCAGAGAATGACGGTCTAGACGTTAGCAACCATTCTTTAACTTGTGCTCAACTAGGGTTGTTTTGACCCACTTCTCCTTCTGCTTATGATTTTAGGTCTCATGATGCTTGTTTATGGTTTTGAATCATGGCAACAGCCACTTATGGTTAGTGTGGTTTTGGACTCTAAAAGGTGTCCTGGGACCTTTGGAAGGGGTCGAAGGGGTTGAAGGGTGTAGATTTGCCGTCTGCCCCTTGGCCCACCAGCTGGTGAGTAAAGAGGTTCCATCTCCTGCTTTGAGAGTGAGTGGGTGATTTATTTCAATCTCTCCATAACATTGCCTCCCCGCCTCCCTGATTATCTAGACCATTTGAATTTGTTTCGTTGACTAATGTGAAGGAGTCTGCACACAGTAGGTACTTGTCTCTCTCCTGTGTGGCAGGTGGAGCTCACTGGCCTCTTCGCCACCACGTCTAAACCCACATCTTGCAGTCAAGGCCGGGCCCCTGCCAATGGGTTGCACTTTACACAGAAGCTAAAGTTGGGAGTTCCACCTCGGTCTGTGCTCGGGTCTGAATGCAGCTCCCCTTTCATATATTGATAGAATCTGCGATGTGGTGGTCATCTTAAAAGGCGGAGCTTGTGAGAGGTGATTAGGTCATGAGGGCTCCGCCCCCGATCATGGGATTAATGCCCTTATAATAGAAGCTCAAGAGAGTTGGCCCTTCCTCCACGTGGGGACACAGCAAGAAGGTGCCATCTGTGAGGAGCAGGCCTTCACCAGACACCCAACCTGCTGGTGCCTGGATCGTGGACTTGGCGGCCTCCAGAACTGTGAGCAGCACACTTCTGTTGTTAGTAAGTGACCCACTCTAAGGGATGTCACAGCAGCCTGGATGGCAGGACAGAATGCAAGAAAGACCTGAGAAGGAGGTGCGTGGAGCGGGCAGGGGTGGCCACGAGGTGGTAGGGCAGAGCCCTCCACAGCAGGTGGAAAGGCCAGGAGAGGGTGAAGGAGGGTTCCAAACAGCACTGCCCTCCTGCCCAGGGCCTTCCTCGGCCAGCACGAGAGTAAAGGTGACAGCACTAGCCAGTGGCCTCTGAGTCTTCCTGCACTCAGGGTGGGAGGGAGGGTGGGAGGACAGAGCCAGGGATCATCAGGAGTCTGGAGGGTTCTCTCTTCTGGGCCGCTGGTCCCAGCGCTCACCCTCTCCAGCCATGGTCACCACCATTTATACAGCGGGGTCTTTGAGATCCCAGTGGGGAGTCCTGGGGCTGCGGGTGGGTGGGAGGAGTGGACGGGGTGCTGTGGCACCTGAGCAGACAGTGGTACTGCTATGGGGCCTGGGCAGCAGCCACGAGGCTGAGGCCCCTGCCGTTGGGGCTCAGCTGACTGGGCTCCCGGCCAAGCTGAGGCCCAGCGTGCTCCTGAGGCAGCAGCGCTGGCTGCAAGAGCTTTCCAGCCTGGAGTGGCCTGTTGCTCATTTTGCAGACCTGGAGGGCCACGGAGCTGCAGCAGGGCAGGCTGGAGGAGGAAGGGTGAGCAGATGCTACCCGCCTCTGTCCCCTTTCAGCCTCACCTCCCCACCGAAGACCTCCCAAAGGAGCCTGCACTGGCCCCAACTAACTGCAAATTCTCTGCAGGGACCTGGCAGCTCATGACTCTGATTGGCAAAAGACTCAGCTTTGAGAACCAGCCTAGTTGGAACCGTCTCCAGGGGCCTGCCCTAGTGAGAGGCGTCTCAGGGCGCTGCAGAAGCAAAGGAGGGCGAGGCCGGAGGCTGCTCACTGCAGCTCTGGAGGGTCCCACTCTGGGGACAGGCTAAAGGCAACTCCCCCAGGGTGTCCTGAGCTCTCATTCTCTGGAGGGTGATAAAATTCAGCCTAGGCTTCAAAATAGCTGTCACCAAGCGAAGGAGCCATTTCACTTTGTCCAGCGGTGGGCTCACCTCCAGTCAGTATTTACTGGACTAGCTGTGGCTGGCACGGTGACAGCCAGCGCTGACATTTGCTTGGCCGTAGGAAGTGAGATGGCAAGAGGGAAACATAATCCGACAAGCCGACCTTCGTGTACAGTGAACTAGAATTCTGGAAAACACTTTTGTGGATCTCAGTGAAAAATCAGCAGGAGGTTTTAGAGTGGAAAAGTTGTGGACAAATTCTTTGGCTTTAATCTCCACAAACAGATAACATGTCACACTGGAAAGAAGGTGGCACAGAGCAAGTCGCTGTTTCCTTTTGATTGGCTGTGGCGGAAAGAGAAAGTTAAATATAGGAAATTTGAGCAAACTGAAAAATATTGTTTTTGGGTCACAGCTCAGGGGCTGGGTGCCATTAATATAATCCAGTTGAAACACGGAGTTATAATTTGGGATTTCTAAAGTATTTGGGACACCACACAAAGCTGGTAGATTAGATGCCTTGGAATTTAGAGCTCTCCTTTTAAATACCCACACAGTTTGTGTGTTTTTTTTAAACTTGGGATTGGATGTTAGTTGAAAATTTCACTTTGAAGATAGCTAGGATAACAATCAAAATTGTCCTGATTAAATGAACTGGCCCTTCTGGTTTTCAAAATTATTAAGGAAATTGATTAAATGAATTCTTTTTTTTTTTCTCTCCACGCTGGTAAGATAAATATACAACTTGTTCACTCTTTGTCTTCATAAATATTTTAATGTGATTCTTTGAGCATTTAAAATTTGAAGAATTTTAATTTACTTAAAAATTATTTTTAGCAAATAAAAATAGGCAAAGAACATGCAGATATAATTCAGTTAAGAGGCAATAAATGTGGAAATATTTTAAAATGGTTTTATCTCAGTAATAAAAAAAAAAGTGAAGATTAGATTAACTTCAACCTATCGAATCAGTAAGAACCTTGGGTTTTTGGGTTGTTTTTCTGTTTTTGTTTTGGTTGATGTTAGAGACTGAACCTAGGGTCTCACACATGCCAAGTAAGACTTTTCTTAAATGATAATACTCTGCTCCCTGCTCGGTAGGAACATAAATTAATATAACATATCTGGAAAACAGATAATATGTGGGGGTCTACTCAGAATCCCAGAGTTGGTATAAAACCTTTCACTTTAACCATTTCATGAGTCAAATACTTCTTTTGTTGACTTGTATGTGCACACAAATAACCGTTTTCTTCTGTTACTGTGACTCTCGTCAGCTTAAATTACAGGCCCCAGAAACTGAACATAACAGGGTAGAGAAAGTTTTTCCCCCTCCCCTTCGTGTATATAAAGAGGCTTTTAAAAATTCATATACTTTGATCCAAGAAAATTCTAACCACGAAATCTAAGGAAATAATCAGAATTTAGGAAAAGATTTACATATAGGATAGTCACAAAACTAGTGATATTGGGGGGAAATGAAGAAAAAAAGTAAACTGCCCTACTATAGGGAAAGCTTTAACTAAATGATGGATGTCCCTACATGGGCCTGGGTGCAGCACACCGCTGCCAGTGCCTGAACACACACACGCAGAATAGGATTACTCATCAGGATGATCTCAACTGTTAAAGAAAAATTCCTGCATGAATAAAAGGATAGAAAGACATTGCAAAATTTCTAGATGGTGAAATACAGATTTTAAATTTTTCTTCTTTCTATATTTTTCTATATTTTCAGATTTTTATGATAAACATGTAAAAACTTTAGATTGAAGGGAAGAGAAGCACAAAGCTGCTTATTTTTTATTATTTGCAAAAATAATTTTAAAAAATTAGTTACTTTGGAAGGAAAGAAAGGAGGGAAAAAATGTCTGCCAAGCTTTTCTTTCTGTTCTAAAATGTCATGAAATCCACAGATTCAGGTGGATTTTTTTTCCTTAAGGTACAAACAGTATTTTAATTGTTTTATTGCATCCCAAAGGTCAGTGATAAAGGAAAAGGTAATATACGTAAGGTAAAACACAAAGTTGCAACTTGATGTTTAGTAACTAGGTTTGTGAAGTGCAGATACACACATACAATCGTGCCCTACTTGATGACAGGCGAGACACATGTCATCAGGAGACTTCGTGTGTGGACTTACACACACCTGGATGGCACAGCCTACCTCACATCCAGGTGTACGGGAGGCACATAGGGCAGGGCCTGTTGTCCTAGGGCCACGACCAACCCGCTTACATTAAGCACAAGAGAAAAGGGCAATCAAGAGACACTCTCAAATCGCAATACAGAGTGTAGCAAACATATAAACCTTACTGATTCGATAGGTTGAAGTTAATCTAATTAACTAATATTATTATCATCAAGTATTAGGCACCATACATACTTACATGTCATGCATGGTCAGTTTGTTCACACCAGTGTCACAAACACACAATCAATGTGTTGCTCTCTAGTGTTCTGCTGGCTACGGTGTCACTAGGAGATAGGGATTTTTTTTTTCTTTTTTTTTTGTACTGAAGATTGAACCCTAGGTGCATTACTGCTGAGCTACATCCCTTCCCCCTTTTATTTGCTTAGGGTCTTACCAAGTTGCTGAAGCTGGCCTTGAACTTGCAGTCCTCCTCCCTCGACCTCCTGAGTGACTGGGATTACCAGCATGCACCACTGCATCACACGGGGTTGTCTTGTCACCCTAGGGGATCACTGTCACACTTGTGGCCTGTCCTTAACCGAAATGTTTTATGGTGTGTGTCTGTGGGTGTGTATATGCACATATTGTGGCAAAATATAAGATAAAGGAAGTTATGCAATGAACTGCTTATTGTAAATAACTTTTTAAGTATACTTTTCAGTCGGGTGTGGTGACATACACCTGTGATCCCAGAGGCTGAGGCAGGAGGATTGCAAGTTCAAGGTCAGTTGTAGCAATTTAGCGGGGCCCTAAGCAACTTAAGGAGACCCTGTCTGAAAATAAAGAAATAAATAAAAAGGGCTGGGATGTGGCTCAGTGGTTAAACACCCTCTGAGTTCAACCCTGGTAGGGGGGAAAAAAAAACTTCAAAGATAAGAAAACAACAGGAAATTAAGTAAGAAAGACCTGCCATGATTTCAACATCAGAAAGCCAATTATTTTCAGTTCTTCTGTTCTCCCAAGTAGAAGTGCTATTGCCTGGGGATCTGTCACTGAAGTAGAATGTCCTGGGGGACAGCTGCTCTCAGACTGTAGGAATCCCTGGCTTGTCCTCAACACACTGCCTGAGGCAGCCTCATAATTTTAGCCTAAAGAGAGGATTGGCTGGTGTGTGGTGCAGGCCCATAATCCCAGCAACTCCGGAGGCCTAAGCAGAAAGATTGCTAGTTCAAGTTCCGAAGCAATTGAGCGAGACTGTGACTCAAAACTTAAAAAAAATAAAAAGGACTGGGTATATGGTTCAGTGGTTAAGCATCCCTGGGTTCAATCCCCAGAACCAAAATAAAAGATTGGTGTGCAGTGGCACATGCCAGTAATCCCAGCACCTTGGGAGGCTGAGGCAGGAGGATTCCAAGTTTGAGGCCAGCTTCTGCAACTTAGTGAGATCCTGTCTCAAAATAGATATAATTAGATCACTCCTGGGTTCAATTCCCAGTGCTAATAAGTAAATAATTAAATACTTAAATAATAAGGATCAAATGGCTTTGACCCCTGTCCTCTTCCCCTGGTCTTGGTGGTTTTGATAAACAATAATGGTGACTGGGGGCCAGACAGAAGGGAAGCTCCCGACCCTGTGAGAAAGGCAGTTGGATTTCCAGCCTCCTCAAGCCTTGTGCACTTTTTTGAGCTTCAGTAAGATGGTACCATTGTCCCCCTTGCCCTCAGAGGATCCATCCAAGACCCCAGTGGATGGGTATCTGAAACTGCAGATAACACAGAACCTTATGGACACTGTGGTTTTTTTCCCCCTATACATACATACGCACCTATGATGAGGTTCAATTTATAATTGCACATGGTAAGTGATAACAATAACTGACAATAAAACAGAACAATTT